TTTCTAGTGTCACCTCATTCCCAATAACCATTCCACATGACGACATCGTAGACTATTTCAAACTTCCAGCTTTCCTCTTTCTCTCTTGCCATCAATATGTTCTTTGAGTGGCAAATTTTCTAAGCCTGCTTTCCTCATTATGAGTCCTAGAAATTTCAACTATCTCTTTCTGATTGTAAGTATTAGTGTCCTTTTTGTTTTTATTTTCTTTAAAATTTTGTTGTTGCTTACCTGTTCTGTCCATGGCATCATCCTTTTATATTTGTTTTACTCTGTTTATAATGTTTTCCCCACTAAGTGGTTCAGTGATCAGACTGAATGGAAATTCTAAGATGCTATACTGGTTCAGTTTGGTGGATCTGGTAAAAATCGACCTAATAATTCTATCTTTTGAATTTGTTTTACTCAGTGTGAATCTGAAGGTGACCTAATATTGCATATGATTTGATTTTAATTTTATCTACAGTCTTAGTGGTTTTCCTTCAGTTTAATTCTGGGAAGCACTTTGCAAACATGGGTGTTTTTATTTATTTATTTATTTTTTTTTTTTTTTTGTAGATTTTTTTAATAGGTACTGTGACAAGAAATAATTTTTTTACAAAATTCTTTTTTCATATAACTAATAGATTAAGAACTCCTGATCATGAATACCATTTTTGTTCCTTTTATTAAATTAGATAAAAGTTAATTGGGGGTCTAGTTTTTTTTTTTTTTTTTTTTTTTTTTTATTTCCAATGTAAATTGATCCTCTCTATTAAAAGCAAAATAAAATATACTTGTTCCATGTAATGCTTACGGCCATATCATGTTGAAACATTGTGTAATTTGGGTGATCATATGAAAACAAATGTCAAGCCTGGTCAGTATCTAGATGAGTAACCAGATGTGAATAACAGGTGTTGTAAGTTTGGATAGACTGGTGATATAATGGATCATAACTTGAAATTGGAAATCAGCCGTATTCTAATTTTAGTTGGGTTCATTAAATTTACTTATGCGAAAATACCCTTAGGAGAAACATGAATCCACTTGTTCTACCCCCAAATATGGGTTAATTAATAGGACTTGTATCAGTAAATCATTATTATTGCTCCAAAATTCTTACACTTTAAAAAATATTTTCTGGCTGCAAAAGGCTGATCTACTGTTAAAAAAAAAAAAATGAATCCTACCTTGTGATTTCTGAAAATGTATGGCAAACTAGACCCTTCCATCAACTTTTATAAAATTTAATAAATTATATATCTTTGATATTTGATCTGGAGTGCTTAGTCTATCGTAATATGCTCCCCCCCCCAAAAAAAAAGATTTCTGGTTGTAATGACTTTTGTACTAGTCTACTATGTTTCCTATTGCAAGCACATATGGTATGAATAAAATTTGATTATAGTATATTTATTAAAACTATTTCTTTTAATTCTAAATCTGTTTCTTATATTTATTAGTATAAGTATTTATTGCATGACAAATTATTTGACAATTAAATATATTACTCTCAGTACTACTACTACTAAATAATTATTATTGTCTGAGAAAACAGTATGTCAAAAATATGATACCCAATGTACCCATGATGACATCCAGTCTGATAAGGGTATTCCAGGCATATGCATCACAGCCAAATGTGCATGGCTGATGCTGAACTCCAGGAGTTCAACTCTTTACCTCTTCTTGGCCACATGTTTTCTGCTGACATGAAGTAGAGCGACTAGATTAAGTCAACTGCTGTGTTTGCTTGCAAGGAAGGTTGGTTCACTGTGTTGTGCCCCGCCCCCTGCAAATTTTCTTGTCAGAATTCATATTGCACATCTACCAATTGTCAGTGTATTGAATACCGTTGCCATATCGGGTCTGGTGCTGCTATTGTGCCTTTAGAGATTCTTGATAAAATCCAGAGAAGCGACTGTAATACAATCAATCCTGACCAGTCATCTTGTCTCTAGTCATTTCTCACTGACATGACGTGTCTTCCCTCTGTTTGTTCTACAAATATTTTCATGGCAATTGCTTGGATGGGCTTTTTTCTTGGTACTCTATGTAAATCTAAGCGAGTTACTAGATTGGCAACTAGGTCTCACTGTTTTACTGTTGAACAAGCTAGATGCAACTGCCACTTCTACTCTAACATTTTTTTTCCTTCCCACCTGTAAAACTCCCTTCTGGTTTTTTTCTTTCTTGATAATTACAACCTTTATAAGTTTGAATGCGATGAGATGCAGGTTCAATCCCTACTAGGAAATGCATTTATCTCTAAGGTTTCTCCATAATACCTACTGTTTAATAAATAAAAGTAGGGCATTTATTTCATAAGAATATCTACTATAATAATGTTTGATTAATAATGTTGGACGAAAAATAAATCCATTAATTCTTTAGAAATTGCTTTGTTTACTCTTTGGATACGAAACTGAATAGATATGAAGCTTGGAGAAAATAATCTTATATCCTTTCCTTAAAAAGGGAAAATAGAACCTTCCTTGCTTGTGTTTTTCTCTGTGGCTGAGCAGTAAAGCACACTGGATTAAATAGTGGGTTCCCCTACAAAGGGGGACACAGGTTTGATCCCTGCTTGGGGATAAATTTTTCTTTACTAAGATTTCTCAAATATCTGAAGTAATTTTTCCTACACCCTCACTTTGGGAGTTTATTAATATTAAGCCAATCCTATTGATTTTGCAAAACTCGAACAGAAAATTAATACTTATATTGTTCGTCTCATAAGTTTTTGCAAACAATGAAATAATGTGATATTTTTAAATCGAAGATAAAAAACAAACTTTGCTTTCATGGATTTTGGGTGGAGTTTCAAAACTTTTGTAAGATTATAATATGAAGTGTGTACGTGTTATTTGTTCTAAAATAATTTCTAATTTAAGAATTTTAATACCAGAACCAGTTTTTCATGTTTTCCTCCCACTGTCATACACAAACAGGTCTACTCTTTATAAATCAATTATGAAATTTCTCCTGTTTATCACATTTTAAGGTATTTTGTTTCGTCTAATGACTTTTGTTATATAACTTTTCTTCTAGTTTTTCATGGCTTCTGTTAGCCTTCATTTCCTGCTAAGAAGAAAAAATTATTTTCACACACACACATTCACAAATATATGCTGTTTAATAAATAAATGAAGCATCTACTCAAGTATGAACATCCATTAAAAAATAATGTTTAAGTAATAAAATCTGACAGATTAATAAATAAGTATCCATCACTTTAGAAATATGAGAGAGTGGAAAAAGCTTACGTGTGACAAGTTTCGTCCTTCAGGAGTCCATCGGACTAAATTTGTTTATGTTAGTGCGACTACACAAATGAGATATACTAGTAATTTTAAATTTAGCAAAAGCAATTTTTTGTGTGTTTTGGGTATATATTCTAGCCAATTCCATTTAAATTCTTTTTTTTTTTGTTTTTGTTTCCATTTTCACCATAATGAGACTGATGGCAATCTTGATAGAAAATGCAACTCTAATTAAAACAGAAAACAATTCACTAAGACAAAAATGTTTAGAAAGTGCTTTAATCACAAGTTCATCCTTACATTTCACTATTCTTAAATATTCTGTTATCACAATGTGGTATATTTAATAACAAAGATGATGAAAATAAAAATAATCTAAATTGAATTGGCTAGATTATGACATGGTCGGTGGAGGAGGGGCTTATTTAACATTTGATCATTTTGCAGCAATACATGCTTAAAGGTTTTAGGCAGTTTTGATCAACATTTCTTTTTGTGGTTAGCCGTAAGGAATTGTAAATGTAGGACTACCTTACACTTAAGTAAAATAATAACAATAATAATATTTATTAAGAATTTGTTACAGGAAATATCAAGTTTTATAGAAACATTGTTGACAATTATGTACTTAGTTACATGACAAATAAAAAATAATATAAATTTTGATGCTATGTTTGATTTGTTAAGTATTTTTCATTTTCTCTTTTGTTATTGGCAGCATTTTAGAATACTTTGGCTGCAATGCTAAGTTGACGAAGTTGAACAAACTGGAGTTATTTCATTTATGCTTTGTTACCTCTCTTTTCCATTGTTCTTTTTAGATCACTTTCTTCCAGTCATTTTGATAGCCAATAGCAAAATTCTGAAATTTAGAATGATCTTATTCCATTTAAAAAATAAAGCCTGTAAAATGGAATATTTTAAATTAATATATGACCAAAAATAAAATGCTTTTGACAAAAGCCCTTAATAATTTCACTATAATTATGTAACAATTCAATATAATGAATATAATGCAGACAAATCTATGGTTTATGTTACCTCATCTAATTGCTTGGTTACGAATTATAAACCTAAATTGAGCTTGAAATATTGTGTAATTGGCTCTAATTTTTGTGTAAAATACTTGGATATGATATGAATAATTTGCAGTGAAAAAAAATCAATTTTTTAATTTTTTTTTTTTTTTTTTTTAAATATGCCCCTCTGCAGAATGTGGCATATACCCAAAACACCTATTAAAAAAAAAAATTTCTAAATTTAAAATTCCCAGCAGCTCTTGTTTGTGCATGTGTAGTCACATAAATGTTAGCAAACCTAATCTGATGGAGTCCTAAATGACAAAATATGTCACATAAATTTTTTCCACTTTGTCATGCATCTTTCCTCCAGAATTGTTCTTGTTATATAAAAGTTTCTATACCGTTATCCTATATATATATATATATATATATATATATATATATATATACTGGTTCTTTTTACTGCCACACCAAGTCAAAATTGATTTAAATATAAGGATCATATTTCCCATTTTATTAAAATAGAAACAAAAGCATCTCGTTTTAAAAAAAGGGGGGGGGTTTAAGGCACCTTTCGGCTGACACTTCTTCAGAAAAATAATAGTTGGCAGTATAAAACAAAAGTTAAGAAAAATTATTATCAACTAATGATGTTAAAAACAATAGATTACCAAGATGTAATCAAAGGGGGTAAAATTAAGAGGAAACCTAGAAGATATTTAGTATTCATAAGGTTTTTTTTTTTCCTCTTTTAATTTTTTTGTTTTTTTTTTGTTTTATACTGTTGAAAATATAAATATTCATATTTCATATTCTCTCTGGCATATTCTCTCTCTTTCATATTCTCTCTCTTTCATATTCTCTCTCTTTCATATTCTCTCTCTTTCATATTCTCTCTCTTTCATATTCTCTCTTTCATATCTCTCTTTCATATTTCTCTCTTTCATATTCTCTCTCTTCATATTCTCTCTCTTTCATATTCTCTCTCTTTCATATTCTCTCTCTTTCATATTCTCTCTCTTTCTCTCTCTTTCATATTCTCTCTCTTTCATATTCTCTCTCTTTCATATTCTCTCTCTTTCATATTCTCTCTCTTTCATATTCTCTCTCTTTCATATTCTCTCTCTTTCATATTCTCTCTCTTTCATATTCTCTCTCTTTCATTCTCTCTCTCTCTTTCATATTCTCTCTCTTTCATATTCTCTCTCTTTCATATTCTCTCTCTTTCATATTCTCTCTCTTTCATATTCTCTCTCTTTCATATTCTCTCTCTTTCATATTCTCTCTCTTTCATATTCTCTCTCTTTCATATTCTCTCTCTCTGTTCTCTTCTTTCATATTCTCTCTTTCATATTCTCTCTCTTTCATATTCTCTCTCTTTCATATTCTCTCTCTTTCATATTCTCTCTCTTTCATATTCTCTCTCTTTCATATTCTCTCTCTTTCATATTCTCTCTCTTTCATATTCTCTCTCTCTTTCTCTCTCTTTCTCTCTCTCTCTTTTCATATTCTCTCTCTTTCATATTCTCTCTCTTTCATATTCTCTCTCTTTCATATTCTCTCTCTTTCATATTCTCTCTCTTTCATATTCTCTCTCTTTCATCCTTTATCTTCCATTTAAATCTGCCCATTCACTTTTATATTAAACATTTCATTGTATAATTAGGAACATAATTGCATAATTAGGAACAAAATGTCATTTGACATTTAAGATAGTCAGTTTTTTAAATTGTATGATTTTCTTTTATTTATTTAATGTCGTAAAAAAAAATCCAGTTGAAAATAGTTTACAACTGAAGTCTGTGTTTGTCCTAAGCCATAAATATGTCAAGCCAAAGCAAGACATGATTTTACATTGGAACATCTCTGAACTTCAGCCTTTTTTGACAGGCTTTTAGATTTCCCTGATTTTTTTTTTTTTTAGTGTACTACTGGCAACTAGGTTTTACTGTCGAAATATATATGTTGAATCCATTACATTCACTTCCATGCTAATAGCCTTGGGAAAGGTATTAACCATCTTCTTCACTCTCCAGCTATGGGTAAATAGCAGGACAAACTGGGTTTTATAGCCTTGGATAGCAACTGTTCTAGGAGAATGATAACTCTGAATTCAAAACCTGAGGAGGGTCGTTTGGGGACCTTGTGGCACGTAGGTCTCTGTATTCGGCCCTTCAAAAGAGTGTGGTTGAAAGCCTTCACCACTATAATCAAATCATATGTGCTGGTGTCTAGGTTATTGGTTTCTAGCAACTGAGCTGCTTGACCCTTATACATTAAATACAATGGGAGAGTTCAATATATATATATATATATATATATATATATATATATATAAATGTAAATTTTACTTTTTTTTTTTTTTTTTTTTTTTTTTTTTTTTTGTGAGGGGCCACTTTTCCACTCTTTTGGTTTCTTGCTTCCCTGGTCCCTATAATCTTTCAAAATTTAAATGAAACCCAATTTCCATCTACTGTCTTACTGAATCCTGTTCTTTTATTCTTTCTTTCTTCTCACTAAAGTCTTCTGATTTTTCTTCCACTCCCTGTACATCTTAGTGGCATTATTGCTTTGCTTAGAGTGAAATGATAATTTTAATCAAAATGAACAAAAAAAAACCCCAACAAACAATGCTCTTCTAAATTTCCAGTAATTCTTTCTTTAAAAGAGATAAAAAGAGCAAAATAAAGTAAAATTTGTAAAATGTATTTAAAATATTTGTGATTTTAAAAAAAAAAAAAAAAAAAATTAGAGTTTTAAGGCATGCTGTATTTATTGGTTAAAGTGCTCAATATCAGGAACAGAACAAATGTAAATATAAAAGGGTACATTGACGTTAACACCCATGGCCTGAAAATTGTTTGAGCATGAAGCAGATGGTTGCCGCTGGGTGTTGACCTCAGAGTTCACTTGTGTGTGTGTATATATATATATAAAACCATATCCACTATTGTTCAGACAGTTATAACTCTTATACTTACTGTTGTAAATAACATTTTTTGCTAATCCATTCTTCAGTTTTTCTGAGATGCATTCCATGTATGTAAATGAAAAAAAAATTTAAGAAAAAAATCTAAGGGAAATAACTTTAACTTTCAGTTAGTGTCATTTCGTTTTTTTTTCTTAATAATTAAATTATAAGAATAGAAGGGAAGAATATGACTTGTCTGCAGTTTCTCCATCAGCCATAATGGCATACCAGTGATAATACTTTAATAATAATTATCAGCATTTGCAAATAATTACAGTATAAATTCTCATGATTATAATTTTTTAGTGGGTATTTTTTTATTTACTTAGAGTAAAATTAAAAACAATTTTGGCTGGTTATTTTTAATTTCATTGTTTCATAAAATAAAGACAAACAGGTATAGCATCACAAACATGTGGTACCCATTAAAATAACGTTTACAGTAATAAATAATGGATGAACAAATCCTTTTAGAAAGTATAAAATCTCTAAATAGGAAGTGACTTAAAAATCAGTGGTGACTAAAATGACCCTTTCAGCAAGTTATCAAGAATTGTTCTGATATAAAAATTTTAGGATGATTCACTTCCTATTTACATAGATTTTAGAACTACTTTCTCTTTCCCATATCTTCTTTATTTAATTTAAAAAATTTTCTTTATGAAAATGATCCCACTCAGTGAACTTTTTTTTTTTATCTTGTAAGGTGTATGGCATTGTATTGTTCCAGGTTCTTACTAGCTTTTTCCTTAATCATTTCTCCCCAAGCAAGGCAATAAAGCCACTAAGACACAATGGGTTAATGAGTGTTAGAGAATATAAGAAAAAAAACCCAAAAAAACACGCTATTAAGGAGAGAGAACATTAAAAGAACAAAAATTATTAAGACAGTAGACAATGATTGACATAACATTTTGGGTGTTGTATTCTCTGGCTATTCATCAGGTGTATATCAATTCCATGCTGAACTGAGCACTTTAGCTATACATTTAATAGTACTATATATATATATATATATATATATATATATATATATATATAACCCAACCAGCCAAACCAAACTGAGCACTTTATTTAATCTACAGAGTAGACTGCTCTCACTCCATTGACCATGTCTAGGGGCATCTTGTTTAGGTTTAGTTTTATTTCTAATTCTTATTTCTAAAATCTTGCTAGAGGACACATCTTTATTTAAATACTCTCCAGAAAAAAAAACAAAACAAAAGAAACCAGGCGAGTAGACAAAAATATCCTTTTTTTTTTTAATTTTATATATTTATTTTTATTTTACTTTAAAGCATTTCATTTAAAGCAATGGCAGGAGTGCAACTGGTTCACAGGGGGTTACATAGAGTAAAGGTGAGAGAAAAATTGTATAGGGAGAATGAGGAAAGGATAAAAGATGAATAGGGTTCAAGACCTCAGAAGAAGGTGATTGATGTTGCATTTAAATTTTCAAGGTTGTAGTTATCAGGGAAGCAAGTAAATGGATGGGAGTTCCACAGGTGAGAACTGCTAGAATAGAAGATGTTAAAGTAGAAGTGGGGGTTACATCTAACTATCTCAGCAGTAAAAGGGTGGTACCTAGATGCTGGCCTAGTAGCACATTTAAATTTATGTAATCAGGACACCAGGGGGAAAAAAACCTTGACAAAACAGTTCAGTTGCTATGAAAATATTTGTAGAAAAGACAGAGGGAAGCCACATCACATGTATGATAAAGTGACTGGAGTCTAGATGTCAAGATAATTACATTACAGATCCTTTTTTGGATTTTGTCGAGAACCTTGAGATGAGCAACTCAGGTACCAGACCATATATGGTAGATACAGAAACATTACTCAATGCACAGATGAATGGTAGATTCATAAATATGTAAGATGGATTCTGACAAGAAAAAACTTTTGGCACAACACAGTGAGCCAACTTTCCTTACATATATATATATATATATATATATATATATATATATATATATATATAAAATCTCTGAAATGGTCAAATGGAAAACATCTAAAAATGCCTGTATTTAATCAAATACATATTACTTAACATACAGATCACTCACAATTCTTGACAATGAATGGCAGTCATAAAAATGTTTGGATAGTTTATTAATGATTTTAATCCTGATATAAAATATATCATAGAAATTGGGAAGACAATATTTAAAGTCTAATAGACAGACCTTATCAGTGTAATAAACCTTGTTGCATCCAACACAGGTATTGTTGTCCAGATGATTAAGTAGGTCAATTTGGTTGGTTTGTTTCTGGTTATCATGATGACCTTTACATAACCTACCCTTGACAACAGCATATGCTCATGTATGCACCTGATTTCCAAAACTGTATATTATTTGGTGCATCACACACACACACACACACACACACACATATATATATATATATATATATATATATATATATATATATATATATATATGTATGTATGTATGTATGAGGTGTGATGGGCAAATTGTTGCCATTTTATATTTTTAATTTCACTCATGCACATAGTTTTTGATAGTGCCAACTGCACAGCATAGTAAGGTCAGTTGGGCACTGCCTGTGAGAATAAGAGCACCATATCACAATTCACTCCAAAGAAATTTGGAAAGGGCATGCTGTACTGTTTAGTATTTGCACCAGAAGCTCCAGTATGAACTTTTCGGTGTTTGGGTGTCAATCTGAGGACAGTGCAGAGGATTCGGAAAGAGTTGGACGAATCTAATGGTGATTACGAAGGTATGTCGGCTCGGAAAACTCACTCTGATCTTTTCTGTTGAGAAAAGAAATCTGAATTTGTTGGTGGGGGACTCGCTCAATCCAGAGGCCTATATCAAGTCACTTGAGCAGGTAGTGCTGCCCTGGGTTAAGAGGGTGGCTGCTGGAAGACCCTATGGCAACAGGACTCTGTACCATGCCAGACAAGTAGGAGAACCCAGTCATGACCATCATACAATTTCTGCAACAATATCACCGCTTACATCTGGCCACCTAACTCCCCAGTTTGTAACCCTCTTAATTATCATGTATGGGGTACAGTTGAGCAAGAGACCAACAAAACTCCTTATGGCACCAAAAATGAACTGAAGGCAAGGATTATGGCAGCATTCACCAACTTAAAGGAGGAGACAATCCGGAAGAGTTGCAGGAGATTCTTAAGTCATCTGGAGACCAGGGTTGAAGCCAATTGTGCTATTTATTGAATAAATTTACTCTTTAGTATTTCAAGATATTTTTTTGAGTAACTTTGGTAAATATATCTGTTATGAAATGTCAGTGTTATTTTCATTTTAGGCGACAATTTATCCATCTCTCTCTCTCTCTCTCTCTATATATATATATATATATATATATATATATATATATTATATATATAATATAAGTAAGGTAATAATGCCACTAAGACACAAAAAGACCCTAGAAGGGACAAGAAACCCAACTCTAAACAGGAAACAAGGGACTACACCTGTACAAATGACTTTGGCGGAGTGTGTACTGGATGATAGGTGAAGCTATCTACTCCTATTATTGGGTTGTCTGGAAAGTTCATGCTGGTTTTTAGGCGTAAATCAGGAAGTTTTGAGGAGCGTGGAACCACCTCTTAATTGCTGGTGTTCCCAGGTCCACCCTGTTAGGGTCCCAGCTATAGGCAAATAGTTAACTATTACCAGCAATACAATTTT